TGCATCTTTTGCCATGGTTCTTGTTCTGCACACAACAAAAATAAATACTTTGAGGAGCACATCCACTATTCCAGCAGCTAGGAAACAATTTAAAACACCACCTCAACTGGTCCTCAAAGGCTAAAAGTTGTAATAGGCTCAGAATCTACCTTTACCCATATCATAGTTTCAACAACAATAAAACTAATCATAAAATTAATCACAAAAGATACACGGGAAACAAATATAACTACAGATATTAAACATTGGAGCTAGTTTCGTCCAAAATAAAAACAGATTATATAAAATAAGTATGCAACTAAAAGTATAAGACAACTAAAAGTAATTAACTCACTAAATAAATTTTATTTTTTCAAAACTCAATATACAATTTCACAACCAAATCACAACTCAAAAAAAAAAAAAATCATAATACCAAAATTAAACCAACACACAACCTCAGTTTTCCCCCCTTTAGAGGTAACTTTGCTTGCCTCTTTCTCTTTCTCAATTTTGAGGGGTAATGGTCTGAAAAGCAAGAATGTATGGAAATAATTCGATTTTAGGCTTTATTTGGTTTAGTTTTTTTTAAGTTACATTTAAAAAAATAAGTTGTTAAAAAAATTTTAAAAATTAAAAATTTATTTGGTTATGAATTTTAAAAATAAATTTGAGTTAATTTTAATTTTTTTATTTTATTTTTAATTGAATAGGTAAGTGTGAAAGAAAATTTAATTGATCGATATGTAGAATATAAAAAAATAAGAGAAAAAAGAGGAAAAAATATTAATTGATTTATTAATAACAAAAAAAAGAGGTGAGAGAAAAGTAAGTTTTGAATTGCATTTTAAAAATTTATTAATCGAACAAACTTTTTTTTATTTTTTTGATTCAAATCATATTTTAAAAACTAAACCAAACGAATAGAAAGTGCAATATAATAGCTCTATCAAAAAACTGCTTTTTTAGACTCTTTGTAATTCTTTCATCATATTCTTTTGTCTAATTAAATTTTAAATTTAGATAAAAAAAAAAATTGATTTGATATGAACTATTTTAATATTTTTTTAACAAATTTTTTTTATTTTCTGACTTTATTTTTCAAAAATTTTGAATCAAATTTAATAAAAAAGATTATCTTTCTAAATATTTAATGTTGTCAAATTAAAACAAAAGATTTGATGAGTTTATATTTTGATAAAATAATGACTCTTCTTCAATTTGAACCAATGATGAAGGGGTTTGGTAATGATTTTTTAAGCATTTTTTATCAAATTTATTTTGAAAAGAGAAAAAGAGCAAACGGGTGATTGTTGAAAAATAGAATTTGGTACACAATATAGTAAGGCCTAATATGAAAACTTGCTTTTAAATTATATCACCTCTCTAATTTTTTTTAATGTATTTTTAAAAAAATAAAAAAAACTAACTTTTGACTAATTTTTCAAAACAACCATACGAAAGCAAATAAACAAAATTCACATTGAACTTTATTGGATTGTCGGACGGAGGTACTAAAGCTTGTTATTCAAAATTTCATTCGATTTGTCTATCTTTTAATAATAATAATTGCATCCTCAATTTTCAATCTATACTATAAAAAGGGTTCATATAATAAATTTAAAAGATAAATAAAAAAATATTGAAAATTTTAATGCATATTTACCTTTCAATCAAGATATTAATTTCTTATTTAAATTTCTCTTTGATCAATCAAATATTTAACCTTTACTTAAATTTTAAAAAATAAAATAATAAGAGACTAAAAACTTTTAATCATTTTTAATTTTTCATGACTTGAGGTTAAATTGAACAGCAATTGAAATTATTCTACCAAAGAAGAAGAAAATGAAGGCCTCAGAATTGCAGAAAAGTCAGCAAGGCTTTTTAAAGCCATTCCCGAAAGATGGTGTTATTGTTTTTCTGATATCCTCAGTGGCCAAAACCATATCAACAAAGCAGATCAAAACTAATAGCAGAGAAGAGAGGAATACAAAACCATATCCTCAGTGTTATTGATCAAAACTATATATATATATATCTGTTTTTTGAATTCCCAAATGGTAATAGCAGAAACTCAAACAACAGAGGCACACCAAACATTTTATCAAACACATAATAAGCAAGGAATATAGAACCAAATGATAGTAAATGGGTTGATTTTGCAAAACCCAAACCCAAACCCAAAATCAAAATCAAATTCGTGAAACCCAACCAACTCTTCATAAAAGTGTAAGCAAAATCAAATTCTTGTATATTAATACAGAAAAATCAACAATACTCATAGGGCTGGTATGAAGATGAATGATTTTGTGAATCATTCTTTTGATGATCTCTGTGATGATCTATGTGGCTATGGGCTGGCATGTGAAGCGCGTCACCGAAAACAAAAATCTGAAGCACCTCACCTCATGAAAACAAAAAATCTAATCTCGAATCTCATGAAACCCAAAAAATTGAATCCGATCTCGAATCAAAACCCTCCTGAGATCGGTCTCCGACATCGTTCTGGTCATCGAGACAGATCGAGGCTTCGGGATTTGAAGAGAAATGTCCGTCTCTGGCGATGTTGATGACTCTACAGCAAGGGAATTCAAGCCATTCCTTTTGCAGTGGCTAATTGAAGGGGGTTGGGTCTACAGCAAGGGAATGGGTTCTGATGGAGAGAGAGAGAGGGGGGGAGGGTTGTGTGTTCAAAATTTGAAAATTGAAACAGAGAGAGATTTTGAGCAGAGAGGAGCACGTGAGGTGAGAGACATTTTCAGCCTTTGGATTGAAGTAATCTAAAGGTCTAAATTTTGACACATATATATTTTCAGTTTTTGAATTCAAAATAGCCCTTCTATTGTTATATAGATACTTGGGATTAATCTCAGCCATTGGATCAAAATGTATCTCACATGCATTTTGATACATTTTTCAAAAACCTTTGTGACTTATTATATAGATATTTTGTATTTTTGATATTTAGTGAATTTTTAAAAGATTTTTTCACAAAAATTATACTTTTTATGTGTATTTATATTAGGTGTGTCTAAAAATTTAAAAAATTACTTAAAATATTAAAAAAAAATTTAGTAAAAACAAAAAAAAAAAACGAAAAAAAAAAGTAAAATTTTCTGAAAAATATTTTTAGAAAACCAAAAACAAGCAAGTTAGACTAGATAATTGTGTGTGTTTAGGAGCCTCAGTCGAAATTGCTTTCTTGTGAGTTAAGCTTTATTTACATCATGTTTAAAGAAAAAGAATTACAACAATTTATATTTTTAACGATTAAATTTGGTGATTAAAAAGAATTCAGTCATCAAAAATGACATTTTTGACGATTATAAAATGCCTCATTATGCTTGGTTTCACTTTTCAAAAAACACTTTTCAGAAAATTCAACTTTCTTATTTTTCGTGTTTTTTTGTTTTTACTGATTTTTTTAATATTTTAAGCAATTTTTAAATTTTTTAGACATACCTAACTTAGATGTATCTAAAAAGTAAAAAATTTGTGAATAAAACTTTTTAAAAATTCACTAAACACCCAAAATACAAAAAAAAAAAATACGAGAATTCAGTACATTTTTTGTGTTTTTATGTATTTACATTTTTTATATTTTTATGTATTTATTAATTTTTTAAAATATTTTTTCACAATTTTTTTACTTTTTAGATACATCTAAGTAAGGTGCATCTAAAAAGTTAAAAAAAATGTTTAAAATTTAAAAAATATTCACTAAAAACAAAAAAAACACGAAAATCAAAAAACTTAATTTTTAAAAAACTTAATTTAAAAAACTCAAACCAAGCACACTGATTAGTCGGCGTTGGTGTAGGATATAACTATTAGATTTTTTTAGTTGAGATATATTACTTATTGGCAAAGGTATGGAAATTTTAGAGGGAAATTATTTGATCAATAGTGACAGAGGCCTCAAATTTGGCTCGAATAGCCCTTTTTTTTTGTTTTTTTTTGGGGGGCTGCTGTGTTAGTTTTTTTTTTTTGTAAGTCTAATATAAAATATTATATATTTTCCACCAACTCATTATATAAAATTATATGAAATTAACAAAATTTAACTAACAGTTTAACTAATCAGTCAATTTTATCACTTAACCAGTCCAACTTAATTGACTGATCAGTTAGACTGTTGGTTAAAATTCGTTAATTCCATATAATTTTGTACGATGAGTTAGTATAGGATGTCTAGTTTTTTGGCACACTCCTACACATAACCATCTTTAAAAACAATTAAAAAAAAAAACCAACACAGCCTAACAAATAAAATAAAATAAAATTAAAAAAAAAATTAATCAGTCAATTTTATTACCCAATCAATCAAACCCACCTCACTTACAAAATGTCTAATTTTTTAATACACCCTTATACATAATCACCCCTATAAAGAAAAGAGAAAAAAAAAAAAATTAAAAAAAAAAAAAACCAAACTAAAACAGCTTTGGAAGAAAAAAAAAAAATTTGATTTCGAGGCAAATTCGAGGCCTGAATCATTTTTGCTAAAAAAACAATAATACCCCAAACATTTTAATAAAAAAAATGGCAATTATAAAAGAGAAGCTAATGGGCTTTTTAAATAATTAGACTGTATTTAGTTTATGAATTTGATAATGGATTTAAAAAAAGAAAAGAAAAAGATAGGTGAAATGTGATAATGGATTTAATAATGGACTTTCAAAACATTTTACATTTCACTTTTATTTTACACATCTTTTTTTTTTCTTCATATAAAACCCTAGAGCAAGAGTGAGAGAGGGAGAAAGAGAGGAAGAGAGAGAGAGAGAGAGAGAGAGAGAGAACCTGTGATCTGCGGCGGTGGCGGTGGCGGTGGCGGTGGCGGTGTGCGACGTACGGTGAGCGACGGTGGTCTGCGGTGAGGTGAGGTTTGGTGATATCAAATACGGAAATGCCTCGTAGCTCGATTTTTCAGGCTCGAGTTTGGCTCGACAGCCCAAAACGACGTCGTTTTGGGCTGTCGAGCCAAACTCGAGCCTGAAAAATCGAGCTACGAGGCATTTCCGTATTTGATATCACCAAACCTCACCTCACCGCAGACCACCGTCGCTCACCGTACGTCGCACACCGCCACCGCCACCGCCACCGCCACCGCCGCAGATCACAGGTTCTCTCTCTCTCTCTCTCTCTCTCTCTCTTCCTCTATTTCCCCCTTTCTGACTGTTGCTCTAGGGTTTTATATGCTTGATTCAGTTTAATTTCGTGTTGATTTGTGAAATGAGTTTGGTTGTTGTGGTTTGATTTATGAAGTTCTATGGGTTTGATGTCCTAAATATGGGTTTGATTTTAGTCGTTTGATATAGTCCCCCTCTTTTTCCGTTCTCTTTCATTAGTTTCAAAGCCCTAATCCATTGATTGTGTATGTATTTGCATGTATGGCTACTCCTTGATTGTGTATGTATTTAAAGCCCTAATCCATTGTTTGAAAGCATTGAGGTTGACAATAAATTTTTCTTATGGCACATGTTAATGGGGTCTTAATTTTGAAGAAATCTTCTGTTTAAATATTGATGGTTCCAATTGGCAGACCAAAAGTGCCAAAAGAGACTGATATCCTTTCTGAAAACTGTCTCTAAATAGATGAACTATTGTTCCCTCAAAACATTCACTTCTTTTGAATGTTGCATCACATGTTCACATGTAAAGATCTACAATATATAAGAAAAATAAATAAAAAAGAAAAGTGTAAAAGATCTGCAAGATTGATGACAAGACATCAAATTGATACAAGTATGATAGATTTGTTGCATCTTGACACATAATTGAAGGATACAATGCATAATGCATTGCATGTCCTATGGTCACTATCTAACAACAAATTTAGATTTCATGCCAATGGCACATTTAAAGGGGTTTGTAAGGATGAATTTAACTTCATATGCATGCATACATATATTTTTGTGCAAAGATTTAAATATTTTGTTGTCATATTCAATTTATTAGTAAAATTACATTATATATCAATCTCATTCTCTTTGTGATGAATTAGGAATTCCACATAATCTCCCTCCCTTAGCATTTACTGTCATTTCAACTATAAGATTCAATTAAATTCTCTCAACAATGAACTAAACCATCTTGGGAAGATTTGGGATTTGCATTGGTCTTATTTATTCCCCCATCTTCTTTAACTTTAATAAAGCCAATGATTATGACTGGCAAGGTAGTGAAATGGGTCATTCCCAAAGAAAAAGCCAAATCAGCATGCAAGCAACGAACACGTGCAGTGTCCTTTCAAATTAAAGGACCACTCACTAGACTCCCTGTTTTTTTTGGGTAAGTATTAGACTGCCTGTTAGTGGCATCAGATTAGTATTATTGATAAATGCAATATGTTTTCTATATATATATATATATATTTAATTTAATTAACTGTATAATTCTTATTTTAAAAGATTATTCTTCCTCCGCTATTATGTTGTTTCCGATCATTTTGATATGCAGGTGTTTTATGTTTTAGAGTAAGCAATGGCAATGGTGAAAGTTTGGAAGACTAGGAACTTAGCTTAGCTATATTCAAATCATCAATTAGAAATTTTTGCTTAGCTCTTTTTTTTCTTCTTACTAACTCTTCTACTCTTTTGTGCAGATTTTCCCAGGTGGACTATTATTATGGATGGCTTGTGGCAGCAGCTAACCCACCAAGCTGGTATGGCATGGGTTTGTTTTGATAAGAGCAGAGTTGGAATAATAATTTGTCTTGATAATACTTTATTATTGATGGCTTGTGGCAGCGGCTAACCCACCAAGTGAATTTTTTTCATTTAATTTAATATCGATTTAATCACTTTTGTATATTAGTTATGAATAATACTTTGTACCACACTTGTTATTTGAAATTAACAGGTAGAAGAGAAAGAGCTGGATTTCTCAGAATTTTACAAGAAATCGCACAACCTTCTTCCACATTTTTCCACATTTGATGCTGCGGCACGAGCTCATGATCAACAGATGGATGCAATGAGAGCTGAGATGTAGGCTCTTTGTGAGGAGTGGCAAAGAGATCATGAAGAGTTGATGAGGGAGAGAGAGGAGCGCAAGAGAGATCATGAAGAGATGATGAGGGAGAGAGTGGAGTTGATGAAACAAGCCAAAGATGGGAAAAAAACTTAGGAGGCACAACAACTCAATCACTTGAACAACATGGTCTCACAGCTCACAAGCCTCTTGCAGCCTTGAGATGGTCATTCTACTATTTGGTAAGAACATTTTTATTCATATGATACTAAACACATACACGGGCTGCTGAGATTGAACAGCCATGACCATTAATTCATAGTGCTTCATGATATTGTTTTGTTTTGAGCTACAATTGGCAGCCTTGTCTATTGCATTTGAACAAAGATTATATACATTGTGATGAAAAAGGAGTGGATAAATTGAAAATTCTTAGAAATATTGGTGGTGACAAAATGAATTTTGAAATTTGTTTGGATAAGAAAATTGAAACGAAAACGAATGGGGGCACTGCATCATGTTTAGTCGTCTGAATACTTGTCTCTTTGAATTTACATTTTTTTTTTGTTAACTTTTGTTTTTAAGTTTCTGACCTGATTCTTTATACTTATTCCTAGATTTCTATTGGCTAACAACATTCCTAGTTTGTAGAATGTTGCCTCCTTTTTCGGTGCAAAGTGTAGTCTTGTTAGAGGCCACTGTAAATGAAGACAAAAGAGAAACTATGAGAATTGCTTTTAGTTAAGGTAGAATATGAGGGAAAAAATAAGACCTATCATTTTGAATGACTCAAATATGCACTAAAATGCGAATGCCACACATTATATGAAGTTAGCACATATAAGGCTTTGTACTAATCAATTGTCCCTTGAATCTCTATTTATATAGGGAGCAACCAAATGAATGCCTATTAGCCAAGTCAATGAAATATTATTTTGATATTGTATACATATCTTGCCATCTCATCTAGATTAATCAAGACAATAGACTACTGCAAATGAAGATAAGCTAAAGCCTTTGTTGTGTTGCACCTAGATCGACATTCCACACTTGAAATTCAAGCAAACAGAAAATTTAAAAAATACACCTAAATGGACATCTTTTCTGGTTCATCACATGAAATAGAATGAGAGTCCTTGAAGCAGTAAATGATAGTTAGGGCTGCAACACTGGTGCACTTGGTGACTACTCAAAAAAGGGCAATGATCCCCCCTCATATAAAAATAGTTAGAGGAACCATTGAAATGATATACAAGCTACAACACAATAAAAGAGGAGAGAGCAATCATGAATGCATGCTTACACACTATACCTGCATACTTGTAATGTGAAAACTAAATTGCCAAAGGAAAAAGTTTTCAATCAAAAAAATCCACATCTCACTAATACAAACAATCCATCACCAAAATCAGATTGTGAAGATAGTAAAGAACCTTAATTGGCAGATGATTTACAGGCTCAAAAAACATAATTAGAACCCAATGATGAAGGTTATATCATACTTACATGTTGGAGTTCAACGCATATTCTTTAGGACGAAGTTAATCCATTCAACTCGCACTTCATCAAGTTCGGTGTTTGTGTAAGTCTTTTTCGCATTAAAATGCAAGAGAAATTTTAGAAACAATTAGCTAATGAAAAAGATATACTAGTATCATGAATATAATATAGGTCTGAGCTACTAAATTGGTGGGGTTTTTAGTGGGCAACTCCAGATTCAGTTGAGGGTGTGCTCCAATGGTGGTCTGGAGTGAAGCTAAGTAAATTGGAAATGAAAATTTGGAGAGTAGTACCTGTTATCTTGCTATGGTCAGTGTGGAAACTCAGGAATGATTGTGTATTTAATAATGGGCCGCCTTCTTGTGTTGAGTTGGGTGAAGTAGTGAAGGTTAAGGTGGCTTTGTGGGCCAACTCATTTTTAGGTTGGTTGTCTTACTCTGGCCAGGACCTGCTATTAAACCTTGGTCAGGTTAGGTAGTGTATTAGAGGTGGTAGTAGAGGCAGGGGATGTGCATAGAAGATGCTGCTGCTGAACTAATTTGTTGATTGGGTTGGAGATTTAGGAAAGGGGAAAAGCAAATATGGAAAGAAACTCTTATGGCAGTCATTTCGTCTATTTGGAAATTCAGTAATAATTGTGTATTCAATAACAAGCATGCAGACACTGAAGAGCTGTGTGATCTCATTAAAGTGAGATTGGCTATTTGGTATCTTTGTATGTACTGGTCTATATGTAAAAGTGATTAATATAAAAAACAGATTTATGTGAGTATATTACACTTGCAAGATTTAGAGGTTGACCCCATATGAAATAAAGATGAAAGACAAAACAAAAGCTAAACCAATCAAAGTACATATACTTTACATCACAACAAAATCCATAAAATTTATTTAAGGAAAAAAAAAAGCAGCAGCTAAATAAGGGGAGCAATCTATGTTAGTCATACTATCTAGGCATAATTCATGCTACTGTCCAGATCATTGTTACAAATCTATTACCAGTGAATTCCCAACAATAACACTCCCAATTAAATCTATATTATCCAGTATCCTTTTAGTATTATTCATTCTTACCAAGGGGATGGAAAATCCAACTAATGCTTCATGGACAACAAGAGCAATTTTCAATCTAGGAGAGTTGGGTTAGCCTTTCATTAAATGTGTCATTGGTGATGGTCAATCTACTTTTCATTTGTATTTTAATTTTTTTTTTATCATTTTATGCTGCCAAAAAAGACTTCTTAATTGAACAAAGATGAAATTAACTTTAACCCATTATTAAAATTCTTAGAATTGAACCAATCATGGATCAACATGCAATAAAAGAGGGAAACAAAAAATCTAAATGTGACTTTCAAATAAAAGCTAGCAGCCTCATTTTGAATAGAATCACTATTATGTAAGAAAGGCAAAATATATATATATATATATATATATATTAAAATTGTCTATAAACTACATTAATATAGTTCTTTTTGAAAAGCAAAGAAAAATCAACATTTTACTACTATAGTTGCACAAAGTCCTAACAAGTTGAAAAAGAAAAAAAAGAAAAATTAAGGCAATTGGATCAACAACTTTCTCCTTATCAGTTTTCAGAATCCAAAAGTTAGAGAGGGAGAGAGAGCGAAAGAGATTACACTTGGAAACTAGAAAGAACATGTGAAGGAAAAGAAAGAGCCATGAAAAGTGTACCCAACAACAAAGATAGATTCATGAACTCATAAGAAAGAGAGAGAGAGACAATCAAACTTCTCAAACTGAAACTAGCAATATTAGTGCATGCCCTGCTTTCGGCTTTTCTTTACAACATAGTACTCTGCTTTGATTAATCAAAATTTCTGAAACTTCAAATATTTTCCACTTCTCTGATAATTCAAAACAACCCAATTCAAAATCCTATTTTACATATAAATCTTCTATGCTTCTCTCCCTCCAATTCTCCACCATATGCTTATATATGACATAAACCTATTGGAAAATTGGTTTTTATAAGGCTTATTTTGGGTCAACTTTGAGCCCAAAATGGAGTGGGCCCCAAACGTCTTTTGAAGTGGATCCGAAGAGGTGACGTGTTCCTTGCCGCGTGGTAAGTCACAAGGTGAAGACGGTTCGTCAAAACCATTTATGAGTGAATGGGAAGTTGACGTCGTTTTCGGGTTCGTGGAATGGACAATTTAAAGAAGTAAATATGGCTTTCTATGAAATGAGTTGTCCCACATTGAAACTTCAAGAGAGCTTTTTTGTGTCTATAAGCTCTAGACTACAACACTTGGGTTGGGCCCCAAGGGGCACCCCAAGTTTATAGAAGAGAGGAGTTATGGACAAAGTGAACCTTAGACCAAACCACCACACACGTGCACGCTCCGCCGCTGTCCGTCCGGCCGAGCCGAGCCGTGCCGGGTGCGATTGTGGGTGGGGTCGGTTCTAATATTAATTTTTTGGACAAAATTTATTTGAATTCTAAATGAAATTAAATTCAAATTTTGTGCCAAATTTGATTTAATTTTCTGTCCATTTTTATCTCACTCAGTCCGAAAATTCCAAACAAATTAACTATTCTATTTGCTGTAGTTTCACAGATTAAGTTTGCACAGTGCACTGTTCGGACAGATCTGTCCAAACAGGTCTTATATCTGTATGAACCCGGACAGATTTATTTTTGTTCAGAACAGATTTAATTCTACCTAACCAATTTTGAACAGATTTAAACTAAGGTTTAACAGGTATTTAAACTGCTGAAAACTGCCAGCAGTTTACAGAATTAACTGCCAGTAGTTACAAATTCAAACAGTGTCCAGATCTGTTTGAATTTTGAATCATATCTGTTCAAAACAGTATCACACCTGTTCACTTCCACAAAGCACCTGTTTGAGTCAGATTTATTGCCTATAAATAAAGGCATGTTCCAGCAGTTTGGTACATCCAAAAATTAGTCTGAAAATCCCATCTTTTGCAGTCCTACTTTGTTCTATTGCATATATTCTTCATATATAATTTTAGGAAAAAATAAAGAGAGTATAGAACACAGGTTTGGTTCGCTGTACAAATTTGTTTGGAGTGCTACTACAAATTTGTGAAGATCATTGTATCTTGGGAGATAAACGCCATTCAACCGTAAGCACCGTAGCGGGGCGAATCTGTCTTAAAGACAGAGTGTCACACACTCGACTTGGTCTTTTATTTTTCTTTTAGTTTGACAAAATAAATTTTGTAAGTTTTTATTTTATTTTGTTTGATTTAGTTTCAATTTATTTTATTTACACAGAAGATTGTTCCAACAAAACCCACCCCTGTAAAGCCCATCAACCATCAACAAAAACCTTACCAATTTCAACTCTGATTCACATTGTATCATTACCTCCCAAGACCCTCATTAAGTGAACTCTTACCTAGCAAAAAAAATAATTCAAATGAGAAGTTGTAAATGAGAGCACTGCTAAATGACAATTAGAAGACATTGAAGATGCCTTGACAATTCATTGAACACTTTACTAACCAAGTTTAAAGTTTCATTAAACTCTCTACTAGTTAGAAGTTTAAAGCTTATTTGTCCAAAGAGAAACTTCTTTATCCAAACGCATTGTAAATCTAAAAATTCATTGAACAAGCTATTGAAATGGAAATAAAAATGTATATATGAATTATGAAACCTGGTTTTTACCATGCTTCACTATCTCCTTTTTGTAACAAAAATTCAGTTTTAGTTGTTGATTGAGCAACATTAACAGAATTTCCCCTTTTGTTTGGTTGCTGCCCTTGTTTTAACATAAATATTTATGTAGTCTTAAAGTGAATGTATATGTATTTACTTGCTGCCTATATTAATTTATACATTTGGTAGTTTAGGAGGTTTGAGTTCTTATTAATTTATACATTTATCAATTGACATCTAATCATGTTCAACATTTTTACTCTAATTATCAAGGCTATCTTAAAATAATACATGATACTTTAAAAATCGTGATTGGCTTTGTCTTGTGGTTGGCATGTTTTTTTGGTTCCTTCGAGTGTCAAGGGAAATAGTAGGTGTCTTTGTCTTGGTGTACTTGGGCTACTAAGGGGCTGCAATCAGTGGCAGTTGTGGATTTGACCTAATTGCTTCGTTTGTTCTATCTGTTTAATCTTGTCCATTGAATTTGTGAGCCAAACTTTGGGAACACTAGTTGGTTGTCTTTTTGCTCTGATTGTGGTTGAGTATAGGTTGGTTTGTAAATGCCTTTCTATTTTGGCATGTGGTTTTGTTTTTGATGTTCACAATGGCTGATGCATATAGTGGCTGCTCTACTTGAATTGATGCAAAAATGGCTGCTCAGGTGGTTTCTAGTGTGGCTCAAAGGGGTATTACAGACAGCATGGAGTTAGCATACATATAGTTGAAAATGGATATAGCAAAGTTATTACAGACTGTGGAATGCTTCCCCAATGGATATAGCTAAGCAGTTAAAATAAGCAAGGTATGTGTAGATTCTGGAATTGAAGGGGCTT